TCAGTAGAAATGGTGGGAACCGCAAAGGAACGGCTAAAGCAAATGACGCTTCTAGTGAAATTAAAATTAATGATTACAGCAATCTGACCCCTTGAAAATCGACAATTGTGGATAATAAATAAATAATTTCTGAAATACAGTAAAAAAGCCTAATCTACCAAAAAAAAAAGTTTACTGCTAACTATGGTCAAACGATCATGAGCTCTCGAGGCTTCTAAACCAGCACAGAATTATTAACTTTATTTTTTACCCCTTTTTTGGAAATTTCCGTATTAGATTTAGATGAGTGGAAGAAAAAAATCAGAAATAAGGAATGAAGGTAAAAGTACGGATATGAAAAGTTGGGCACGGTTGCTGTTTGGTATCTGGTGTAAAAGATGAAAGTTTAAAGAGTTCTTGAAGTTTTTCGGAATTAGTCATAAAATCTGCTCAGGTAATGAATTTATGCAAGGCTCTGTGTATCTCGAGTCAAATAGATTGGTACATAGACAACCAGATGTTCTTATATTACTAACTTTTACTCAAGAAGGTGAAATAGCTTTTAAAATAGAAGCGAACTTTGAAATTTTTGTATTTACAAAGATCACTTTCTTGTTTTTAACGACGTATACATGTGTACGCAGAAGAAATGATAACATGTGAGCTTGTATATCCGTCAATACAGTGGGATACTTTGTCTCCTTGAACTTAATGACAATTTGAGGTTGTTTTTTTGATAAACAAGTTTTTTTTATCAATTTAAGGGATTTAAATAATTGTTGGCTTACTTGACGAGACTTTTGCTATACTGTAATTAATCTTTTCAATCATTGAAGAGGAGAAATAGGAAGTGATTTTTCAAATCCGACTCCCTGAAAACATGTTGATCTGCATGTCAGTGTGGTTTCACTGATGAATTGGTTGATAGTGGTTATACGGAGCAGTTTAGAAATATAGGTTTCCAAATAGGTTCCTTTGAGACCACTCCGTTTATAAATACTATTGACTAAAGTCGGTGTCAAGAGACCGAGGAGAGTTCTCAACTAGTAATGAGAAGTTCTGTATCTGTATCAAACGTAAAATTAAAAAAATTTTTCTGCACCCACTTTTAAAACATGTTATACTTCAGAATTAAAAACTTTATTTGCGACTACAGCTAAAGAGTATAAAATTATAAACAACCAGTAATCTACGCTCGGTAAGCAATATTACCAAAACAAGTTTAAACAAATGGCAGGCAGTGCAAGATGGGGATTTAAAATTACTTGTTGCGCAGCATTTATTTTGTATCTGCAATGCGTTGAAGGGATTGGTAGAGAAGATAATGTCGAAGAAAGGCAACTTCACTGGTTAAATACTTCTTGAACTTTGAATTTTATAACAAAAAGTACTGGCTGGGTTAGGCAGAAGATGACCAAGTTTTCCACGAATAGGTGCTAATTCCTCATTGGCTTCATTGTGCTCCCGTAAAGCTCAAGAATATAGTTTCAAGTTTTGTTCTGTTTTGCAGGGTAAAAGATCTTGTATATTACGTCTTCTAATTAGCAAAAAGGGAACACAAAAAGGAAACAAAGGCCTTTCTTAATTGCTCTGCAGGCTTCAACTGTTTATGCGGTTGAGATTTACGGAGTTGTTAAACCATGCTGAGAAGCTTGATATACGAATTTTTTGATACTACTTTAAAATTGTTATCCTAAGTATACATCAGTAAGAAAACGTATTTCATGAAGTTAAACACAAATGTGCAATACACTGAATTATTTTTTTACAGTCTGAAAAGATTTTAGTTTTGTCAGAGATAACTTTTGAGTATGAACTATTTTATTCTAAAAATCTGCTTCCTGGCAATCATCAAAATTCAGGAATGGTGCGGATTTAAGGCGAAGCGTGACTCGACATAGGATGTGTTTGAAAATTTAGAGAAACGAGTATACTTCTGAGTACAGACAGCAATCCCAAACAAAACCAATTTTAACATTCATCCTCTTTGTGTAGTTCATTTTTTCTCTCTTTTCAGCAATTTTTTTTTACAGCAGGCCAGTTTACCGCAATGTTCAGCTATATTATTTTGACAGCTCTTGACTAGACAGCCTGTTTAACTTTCTACGACACTAGCCAGACATTTTTGTTTAAGTCAATATGAACTAAAACACTGTTGATCGCAGTAAAACAATCTTTACAGAACTGTTAAGGCAAAGATATTTTTAAGTGCAAAAAAAAAATTGAGTTCTTTTCAAAAATGTTTTCAATATCACATTCAAAGGACGAAGGGAGGAAAGAAAAAAAAAACGAAGTGCAGAAGAAAGGGCAATGGATAAAGAAGGGAAGGATTCTTACGCTCCAATTCAATTTGTATGTGTCTAAAACAAGTTTTTTTTTTTGTTGAATCAACAAAGCTGTTGAAGAATTAACATTTTTTGAAAGAAAAAGATCACCTGACTTCCGTTACTAACGAAAATAAGGTATGAAAAAATCTATTTTTGACCAAAAACATATTGCAGACTGAACGAATGAGTTACACTGAAGAATTTTTTTTACTAATCGAAGGGCATTTTGAATAGTGTGATAAAATTGTGCTGTTAACCTTTAACCAGATATAGATATAAATTAAGTAACAACTATCTACAATTGAGATCATTGTCTACTTCAAGCATATCACTTCCTCGTATTTACGTTGCCATTCAGAACTTATCAATTACACATAGCCTGACAATTAACTGACATTTTGACACAATTAATAGCTTAGTAATTTTTTTTTTTTGCTCTATCATGAAAATGCGTCTTGTACATCGTTTTGGGAAGTACTTTTGAAATTTTTATAAATTTTTGATCTCCTAAAACAGCTAATGTTGTCAAAATAAATTGAGTAATAAACTTTCTCTAATGTAGTTCACCGATAAATCCTGGATAAATGAGTCTATTATTGCAGATACTTTATCACATTTGACTGTTAAAAAAAGCATAAATAGTGAATTAGTGCAAACAGTTTATAAACTGAATCAAATTGTTTGAAAAAAATTTTATATAACAATAATTGTCATGAGAGATAATTTTATTGACTTATTTATTTGAATAAACAATAATTGTCATTGACTTATTTATTTGAATAAATTTATCTGGTTAATTCCGGTGTTCAATATGACCACTACTAATACGTTTAGATGACGTTTAAAAATTTATTTTTTCATAAAAGTTTACCAAAACTATCAGGTCAGGACTAGCCGGAAGTTGAAGGTGTCATTCCAATAGAGCAATAGCACAATTATTTTCCCTTAGAAAATTTCAAAGCTATTCAAAGTCGGTTCTGAAATATAACCGTAAAAGTAAATGGGAAACGTATAAAAAAGATTTTACGATGTTTTTCAAACCACAACATATGTATGGCTAAAGATCGTGAACGACTTTTGAAAAGTTTTGCATCATGCAAAATACTGAATCATCAAGCATTTCTCATATAGTTTAGTAATACATCCTCAAATGATTGCCATGCATTGAAGTTGTTTTTTTTCACAAGTCTTAGACCTTTACTTTAAACCGAACTTAGAGGAGAAATATTTTGAAAGAGCTATTGTTTATTTTATAAGTGATGTATCTTTTATACATATATAAAGCAAGAGTTACAGTTTTGTATTTTTTTAAGCATCAATATCGAACAAAATAAATCGTCAAAACTTTGTAGCTTTTCAAGACCGGCGGTTGTTTGAAAATGTCACCAAATGGACCAAATGGAAGTTTCTTGATAAAGTTTGGCGGTACTACTCTATCATTCACTAAGTACCATGGATTAGATTTTGTACCATATGTTTGCATGCACCTCAAACAACAAACGTATATTATTATTATTTTTACAGGTCTTATTAGGTTCGAGTAACTAAAAGTGATAAAAGAAAACAGGGGAGAGACTGCAGCTTTTCATTGCACAGCAAACAAAACTGAATAGAAGGATGAGCCACTAACAGCATGTTCAAATGCACTATACTAAGAAAATTTAGTGTAGATTATCATTCTTTTGAATAGCGTTATCTCTGTCATCTATAAGTTTGATTATGTTAACTGTTAACCCTATAAAATGTAGAGAAATTAGTGCAAAAAAATTGTTTATCTACAACTCAAGTTGACAAATATTGGGCATTTATGATTCATCATTTAATCTCTATATCAGCTTTGAATACAGTCTCACTTAAAAATGTCTTTGGTAAAAAATTATAAATACTGTTACAGATAAACTTCTTGCCTTAACCGATCACTTTTTTACATATCTGATGTTATTGTAACAACTTTCCTTCTTGTATCTACAACTTTTCAGCTATTTCCTGTCACTGTTTCTCAAACTATTAGTTAAGGTAAAAAAAATCTTTGTCACTTACTTGGAAAATTTTAAGAGGGTTTATAAAAATTTAATATTTGTTACTGCTGCTATTAAGAATTAATCTTTTCAAATGTTCTCAATTAATGACGTCTTTTCTACGAACTCCTTTTGTTGAGGTTTATTTTGCACTAGAAATTTGACAGATTTTTGAAAGAAAAAGAAGCATATGTACATTAAGCATAACTTATGCTTGGAATTTTAACTTTGCACTACTCATAAAGTGATAAGTAAAAGCTCAAACTCAAAAATATGGTGACAAACTCAAAAATATGGTGTTAATGTTTAAAAGTTTCTTCTTGGAAGATTTGTCTCGTACCTAAGCCGATGAACACAGGGCAACACAGGGCAACTCAGAGCATACGGGTTTTCAATTGTAAATTAGTTTTGGGGAAAATATTTCAATGATTCAACGCTGAAAACATATAAAAGACGAACAGAAAAAACTGTATAAGGCAAAACTATTTCATTGCTGAAATAGGAAAAAAAAAGTTAAGATTAATTTTTTTTTTTTTTGCTTTTCTTTTTCTTTAGCTGTAACAATAATGGCCAATAAATAACCGAATATGAGCGAAAAAGCAAAGATTTTTATTGAAAAATCATTGAACATAGTTTTAGTACGATCGGTTCCAATTCGCTTTACAGTAACTTGGCTATGCTAACCTTACTACTTCTTACTTTCTTCCACCTGCCCAACAGTATTTCTCAGAACATTAATCAATGCGTCGAGGTAATCATTTTTGTTACTTCTGTTATTCATTTAAAAATTAGTATTATCAAGTTTTATTGCTGAGAATACGTGAAGTTTCGAATCGTTACGGCAGCAGTTGAAGCACTGAAGTATAATGCCGAACAGCAACCATTAAAATATTTGTCAAAAAGTAGAAGATATCTGCTGTCATATTAAATAATATTTGATAAACTCATAATTTGTGAATATAGAATAAAAATTAACTTTTAGTGTGCTTCACCAGGCCTACAACACCGATGGGCATTAACTGGATTTTCGCGAGAATACGGAGACAACTTATTCACATCAAACTGCGCAGAAGCAGTAGGATGGAAAGGTTTTACAGCATGTGATGGGCAGTGTATAACCTACATGTTCGAAGATCCAGACGCATCATATGTCAAAGACAGTAAGTTTAGCAAATCTTTTTCTTTTTTTTTAACGTTGTTTTTTCTACCGAAACATTATTTATTCAGTTTTCATCTCATTTTTATTACACTGCTCAAAGCAAAAGTTGTGGAAACTACAGAAAGACGTCAATTTTAATTTTAAATTGAAGAATAGTTAATAATATTCAAAAAACTTATTCAAAAAAAAAAAGCTTCATATTAAACAAAAGTTTGTCAACGAGTATTTTTCAAAGCATTAAGGAACATTTAACAGAAAAGTACTCAAAGAAAGACCAAATAGTTGTCTGCAACTACCTCTACTTGCTGTTGAGAAGCCATCATAAAAGTTGAATAAACTAAGTTCCATTCCATCTACTTGAATTTTGTTTCATTACGCAGATGAAACATCAGGCTATGTCATTATTTTATCAAATTTTTGAGTAGAATTAATGATTTTCGATTGAGTTAAATTTTTTAAAATTTTTACAACACGTTCCACATGAAAATATCAACTTTACATGGGCTGAACCGCTGTATCATTTGTTTGCAACTATAAAAGTAAAATATAACGTTTCTTAAAACAACTAAATGAACATAGATTTGATTAAAATTACACAGAATTTCTAAAGGATTAACGAATTGCAGGAAATTTGGTAATCCGGGGTTGTCTGGAAAAATTGCTTGATGAAGACCTCAGTAATCGACAAGCATCAAATACCACTTCTTCTCTATGCGAATACGACAAAGATTTTCAGAGGCTTAATTCACAGGGAGAGATGATATCAACAAAAGTTGTATCAATTATTTGCAGCGGGTAGTGTACCCGTAATCACTGCTATATCGCTTTTACTACTTTTGTTTTTCCACATACAACAGTACCTGAGTCGGTGACGATGAACAAAACAGTTTCGTTTTTTTGTTTTAAATAACTGTTTTTTTTTTTCAGAAACCTGTGCAATGGAAGAGGAATAACATTTGAAGATCCATGTAAGGGATATACAGCTGACAGTGAGTTTTGTGGAGTCTTAACTAGCTAGACTAAATTTAACAAAATTTGCTATCGTATTGCAGTAATGATACCAAACTGAATGAACACTGACTAATATCGTTACAGCGAATAGCTGCCTAAGTTAAGGTAAAAAATTTTGTAAATTTCAACTATTTTTAGCTTCTGCATCTGTACCGATAAAATGTTATCAGTGTCAAGGAGAAAATGAAAACTGTCATACGGCAAAAAAAATATGCTCGAAAAAATACTGTTACAAGGGAACTATTGATTTTCACGGTTAGCTATAAGCATAAATTATAACAGAAAGGAAAAAAATTAGGAGTAAACTTAGTCAGTTAGGAGAACTAATAACTTTAGAGTTCAACAATTTTTTGTAGTTTTTTATATTTTTGTCGCAGACTATTTAATTAAGCTTTTAATTAAATTTTAAAATACTGCACAAAAAATTGGATTAGAAAAGTTGAAACTTAATTGGCTGAAGTTGAATTTGAATAATAATTCTGATTTTCACCATTCAATTGATTTTTATAAACTTACATTATTTTGTTCTACAACTATATTTACGCTAAAAAAAATAGATGTTGAAATATAATTTGTTTTCTTATAATTCATCTTCTGTTTATTTTTAATCAGTAAAACTACATGCAAGCTTCCTTGAAAAAGGAAGCTAAAAGGCGTCAGCTAGTCTTGAGATTTAAATCTAGAACAGAAGCAAATACAAAAACTAAATTGCTACCTATGTTATCAATTTCTCTTCCCCGTATACCACTCAACTTTGTATGCCAATAAACAGAGAATATAAATTTATTAAAGATACATTTTTTTACATTCAGAATTACAAAAAACATTCAAAAAAGTTCAGGAACTAGTTAGCAGCAGGTAACTGTCATCTAATATGGTGGTAATTTTATTGCTAACATTTAAAACAGTCTATAATAATAAAAAACAAAAAAAAAATAATTTCCGTTAGCTTTCTGTCAAATTTTTAAGTCTTCAATTTAGTCATTTTCTTTTCTCTGGTTCAACCCTTTTGAGTCATACGTTTAAAAAACAAAGATTTTTAGCACAAAAATTATTGCAGTTTATTTTAAGGATCAAAAAGCGTATATAAGACATGTGCAGATTTTAATCCATTTGGAAACAGCGCTGAATGTGGTCAGTTTTCAACCCAAGTGACACCGATGAACACTGCTACAGTTCAGACGACAGTTAGTCACTGCTTTTGTAACGATAAACCGTATTGTAACTTTGCATATCAATCTCATCCATTTATTTACCAGTTAATTTTGGTCAGCATAATTTTATTTGCAATAATTTTTTAACAAAAAATGCCACCACACACAAATACAGAAAAAGAAAATCTTTATTTGACTAAAAAATACATTTTCCCCCC